ATTATGATTATTATTATTATTATTAAGTAAATGTCTTATCATTAAGGGAAGGATATAAACATAAATGATTTTAGCAGTCCACATCTTTAAATAAGCAAAAAAGATTAATTTTTAGAAGAGATCAGAAATCATATATTGCAAAAATCAAGAAATGATGTCTGGAGATTAAAAGGCTAGCCAAACTTTGTTACTCGCCCTTATGTTGAATGGAGAAGAGGAGATACTTGCTGTGACATAATGTGAATTAAATATAATCACTTTAACTTTTAGAAATAGTCTCTAATTGATTTTTGTTTAAATTTATTATTATTAACTTTTTCTTAAGTTTCTGGAACTTCTAATTTATGATTTTCTTGATCTTCAACAGATTCTGTTTTGCTTGGTGTTTTAACATGATCATCATTCTTCTTATTTTTCTCATTTCCATCTAATTACATTTCAATCTGAATTTAATCTTAATCAAAAGTCTGATTATTGATTTGAAATTAATTGTCTCCAGAAATATTCAACTCTTCCTAAAAGCATTGCTTTTCCTGAATATTTTAATTTTCTATCAAAAGTTTGCCATCCAGTTGATTATCGATATCAAAATTTTATTCCTCCTTTAATTTATTTTCATGCATATCTTTCAATCTTAATCTTCTTAACTCATCCAATTTGCATTTCTCTGCTAATTCTCTTTGTAATTTAAAAGAGGAATCTTTAAAGATCTTTGATTAAATATTATGGATTGCTGCTCTTTCATTTTGAGGCAATTCATCAACACATAAGAAACACTTAAATTCAATTTAAGAAGCTTCTTCAAATGGTATTGTCATTTCTAAACAATCGAAATGAAACCATTCATCACACACTTCGCAGCAAATCATAGGATCACCATCTTTAAATTTCCCTCTACATACACAATATAAATTGTCATCCCTTTAGAAAAATTCATCCCCCACTTATTCAATAATAATTTCCTTTTTTTATTCTGCCTTATTATTCTTTTTATATTTTTTTAGCATTAAGATATCAATAAGTTTAGCTTATTTCTTTTAAGGATTTATTTCTTACATATATTTGCTTGCCCTTCTACGTAATTTCTCATACATCTTATATGTTATATCCTTCTCATAATCTCTATACTTAAAATGCTTCCACAATTCGTCTGTTGCAGTAATAGTACTTTTATAAAACTATGTAACTAGTAAGCCATTTGCATCAACTTTATTTTAATAAACTTCTGGTAAAATTGTGAGTTTATATTATTTTTATGGTTTGAGAACAGGTCCTGAAATGGATTCAATAGCATATTATCCCTAATCTAATATTAAATTGACAATAAGTTATTAATCAGTAATCTAATTTATAAACTCCTTTAATTTATTTGCAAAATCTATTAAATCGAACTCATTTTCTGTGTGTTCCTGATTTTCTTATTTTAACTTTTATTCTTTGTTTGTTTTTACCTTTTTTGGCTTTTGAACACTCTTTTTATGAACTTATCTACACTTTTCATATGCTCTGAAGAAATCAATTATTTCTCTTTCATATAACCTTTGTTTTGATTCTAGAATTCTCTTAACTTTAAGAGGAACATGCTTTTAGCAGAAAATTTAATAATCCGGTTTATTATTAATAACAGTCTAAGTCAAGAATATTCCAGATCTTCTGGCACATTCAACGTGAAAAGAAGTAGCGCAACTACCTCTTGCACATTATATGCACATTCCTGCTTTCTTAATATTACAAATGCTGCAGTTGAGAGCAAATCTTTTGGCATTAATATTATCTACTCCTCTCAAAATGTCTTATTTTTCATCTAAGAAACATTCTGGAGACCAATAAAAACAAGATAAATGAATCCAAACTTTTTAAGGTTATGGTTCTTTAATTTCCTTATTATTTTCTAAATCACGAATATCTCTATTTGGTAATTTCCCAAAATCGTAATAGAGTTCTTAGTCATCATCAATTTATTAAACTTGATTTAATGTATATTATTACATAATTTAGACACAAAGTCATTCTTCATCATTGTTTCTCCTTAAGATTCAAAATAGGTTTAATTTAAGTTCTAAAAGCATGATGCATCTATTTAAGTAGCTTTCATCGCTCCACCTAATTTAGGACACAAGGCGCATCTCAGATATTGTCCATTTGGTCCAAATGTTTAACAAACATCACATATCCAATCTTCATTTGGTATTATATCAATTAAATAGCATTTTTAATGTACAGAGATATTGCATTTAGAACAAAATACAATGAGATTATCGTCAGTATAATCTCCATCATTGCAAACTTAACACAATGCATCATCAAGATTTGGTTATAAGTGAATTCCTCCTCCTTATGTTTTTTTTCCAGTCTCTTACACAACTACATTTTATTCATCTGCTTAGATTTTCATCTCTATTTTTTCTATGTATTGTTTTTCAGTTTCTGTAAGTCCTGCAATATCTCTCAGAAGATTATTTTGTTAATCTGTTTTTAAATGCTATTTAACTGTTGGTAAATGAGTGATAAACTATTGCAAGGTTTCTTCATTTTATTTTGTTATTTGATCTAATTCAATTCTAATCATATTTATTGATAGTACTCTTAGGTTGTAATTAGATCATCTAAGTCTTTTTAACCTAAGTTTCTTGTTTCTAATATGAATATATCATCATTCACATCATACCCTTTTTTATTTTTCTATTTTTTGCAATCACTAATTAAATCAAAAGATATTTACTCTTATATTTAAGTCCCATTTATTGATTCATTTTTCTTCAATATTTTCTCAATTTCATGCAGACATTATTAGAGATACTCTTGATCGCAATTGAAATAAAGTGCTGCAATCATAAATTAGAGTGTGGATGCTTGCAAAAATTGGACTTGATATAAGAAAAAGAGTACTTGGATATATAACTTTGGAGTTATTTGTATTTTCTATATCAGTCCAATCAAAATCACCCATTTTTCTAAGTGAATGCAAATAATTTTGATATTTTTTTGTCACTTTCTATTATACCTCAATTAAGGAATTTTCTTCACTTTCATCTTGCAAATTCGCTTTAACTAATTGCTTGCGAACTCTTGTTTATTTTCTTCTTTTCATACAAGGATCGATGTTGTACATTTCCCTATCAAACTTATGAGCCATTCAATATACCTCTAGAAAGCGCCAAAAACTTCTTTAAAATAAAATAATAATTAGCTATCAGCAGTTGTCAAGAATCAAAAGTTAATCCAAATATTACGAAGCTAAAATAACATGAACATACAAAAATTATCTACAATAATTAGGTATTTTGAAATTAAGATATTTCAATTAATGGGTCTTTTTAATACTAATTACTCTCTTATCGATTAAAGATTACCTATTTATCACTAAAATCAATTTTTATTTTAGCTTCAGATTATTTATAATTAAAAACTCAATAGAAAACATAATAAAACATTAATACTTAATCATTAGGATACTGCATAAATAAAGGCTCATATAAGGAATGATGTTATGAGTGCCTTTCATTCCAATATTTATTCAATGTTAAATAAAATCTAGTAAAATACAATCGCATTTTGTATAATAAAAAATAATAAATTTAATTGAAATTGTTACAAACAACATATCAATTCTCATTCTACAACCATGTTTTATTCTGTACCTTCCTGGTTTTAAATTTCAGACTGCAATTTTGGTAAATAAAACATAAGAATAAACTTTCCAATTTGAATTGAAGATCTATGCTTCAAAATAACGGGATTGTCCTTAGAAGTTATTGTTACTGAGTCTACATATATTGGCTTTTTATTGCTTAAGCATCTTATTTCAAAACTAATTCTCATATTTTAAATATTACAATTCTTTATCCATATTATAAGAGATGACAGCGTGCTATTTAGAAATCTTTTAACCTAAATCTAAAGCTAAGTCTACGTCCCATTCATATTTGCTATTCTTAGTCTGATTGGCTCTGCCGATGATTATCGCTAGTTTTTTTATATAGTAAGTTATATGTTTTCCTTTTAATAATGCATATGCCGCTGTTGGAAAGTTTACTAAGGGCAATTTCACTTCATTATCTTAAACTTAAAATTCCACTAAATCTCTAAATAAATTCGAAAAATAAGTGGATTCCTTCTCGAAATTTAACTTCACTTTACTTGTTAATTATTCTTTCAACTTATTAGTTGCTATTTCATACTTGAAGCGAATATGGATTTAATTGTTCAATCATAAATTAATGTAGAATGTCTGGTCCAATCCACAGATATGTTTCGTAAGCATCAGCTGGACTTCTCCTATGAATTGTAACAAATTAGAAATACTTGTCTAAAAGGTTCAAACTTGTCATTATACTAGCCATTTCATTTATAATTAAAGCACTGCTTTGCTCTTTAGCAGTCAATTGCAATTGCTCAACCAATTTTTCAATTGTATCTCTGGCAATCATTCGACCTAGTTAATAGTAGTAATCTCACCTTAATTGCTAAAAATTTAAGTAATAATTTCCTGATAAAATAATCCAAAGTAGATACTTTATCTGATTGAATATTTTTTATTTTCAATAATATAATCTTCTGAAAAAAGCCAATGTTCTCTATCATATTAAGTTCTTGTTAATGCAATTTCTACTCCCTCTAAAATTCGAGCAGTCATTCCTTTCAAACCAGAATATATAAATCTTTTTTTAGATATCCTAGTAATAAATCCCAAGCCTTCAAATATGAATAGAAGCTCTATAAGCTTTTTTATATCAGGCAGCACTAAATCTCTGCAGGTTAGAATAACCTAATTATTGCATAGCATTACTTTATAGCCATCTATAATCTAACCTTTGAAATCTGAAAGTATTTTAAGCATTCTTTTTGCTTACGCTCCTAATTTTTCTCTTGTTTGCATTTTAATATATAATTATTATTAAAATTAAATAATAATAACATTTGTTAATAATTCCTACTTTTAATTAACCAAAAGTCTAAATATATGAATGTATATTAAAATAACTATTGGCAATTAATCGTGGTTGTTAATGTACAACTTATTATAATTTAATAAATTCATTCTACTGAATCAAAAGACTGAATTTACAGCTTCGAGTTTGGATTTGATTATGATGCTAGAATAAATTTAGACAATAATTTCTTTATCTCTTCGATTTATTGGGCTTTTAATCCATAAAAGGGAGCTAAATCTGACGTGAAGGTGTTTATAATTATAACGGGAATTTTGGCTTAAACCATCTACTAAACAGTATTTTAGAATTATTGGAATATGATCAATTATCTATCAGATTCTTCCACCCCTTCGCATGTTTGATTTACCTACCAGAATATTAGCCATTCCCAATAATCAGTTTTTTTTGAAAAAATTGGATTCTAACTCAAAACCTAAAATATTGAAACAGCTTCCTCTTATTATGTATAAATAAAAGTAGTTAGCTTTTGAATCTTTTATACATTAGGACCTTCTTTTGGAATACATTCTAATAATTTATTAAATAATTATTAAATTAATGAATGGTTACGTTTTCCAATCGATATTGGCGCTCTATGATAAAAAATAATATTACTTTATACGTTGAGATAACTAGTCCAAAACTAAATAAGCAGTATTCTGATTTATGCTTTATTCAATAGAACTAATTAATTTGTCCTATAACTCTTATTTATTTAATAGCACTGCTGAAAATTCTTCTATTTTCTATTTTTATTCTTCTGACAGGGTTTCCTCCTACTACTATTATAATTATTATTCTTATTCTGGCTAATTTTTCTCCTCTTAAGGAATCAAATTAAATTTATGAAGGTAATTGTTCACAATTTTGGTAGAAAATGTTTAAATTTGTTCAACTTTTGCAAGTGAATAAGATTCATCTGTAAACTTAAAAACTGTATGAATCTTTGTAAAATCAACTTTATCCAAGTATTTAATGACCTAATCTAAATCATATTACCTGAAGTTATTTTTCATAAATACCTGTTTCTTAAAGCTGAAACCTCAGCCAATGCAATTTTTTGAAACAATTATCTTACGCATTCAGCCACATTTTACTCAAGTTCTTTAATTTGATTGACATACTATTCCATTTCAGGCAAGATTTCATTATATTATTGATTATATTTATCTACAGCTATTTTGTAATTTCCAAATGTATTATCCTTGTTTTTCATAAGATCTTAAATTGTTTTCATGTGTCCCAACTTTTAATCAATATTGTCGTTCACTAATTCTATGGTTAACACATTTCTTTCAAATACTTTAGTGATAGACACATAAAAGGATTGGCTTTGTGCCAACTTCTATTAAGCAACCTTCAATTTATTAATAGATCTAATTTATTTAAAATTTACTTCTCTTTTTTGTCATGTAGATTGGTCAATTATAATTAATAAGCATTTATGTGATTTGAGAATTCCTCTCTTGCTCTTTTCAAATCTGTTATCAATGATTCCTAGGCTTGGTATTTATTTGAGCAATTTGTAATAATATATTAAAACACTTCATCGTATTTGTGGTCCTCGTATTTGTCAATAATTGATTTTAGTTTTTATTAGTATAATAATTCCAATTACACCTTATAATCAATAGTCTTATTATATATAGATGTATACATTGTATGCCCTTTGAGATAAATCAATTCTTTGTTTAAGATTCATGAATGCCAGATGATACTATATAGCTAATTATTTGTAATCTTTGTTCATATTCTTTCTATATTTATTTATTTAATAATTATTTAATATTAACGAATGAGAAGAACCACATTATAATCAGAGTTGAAGTTAAATAAGAAAAAAATGTTCAATAAGGAAAATATACCCTAACCAGCGAAAACTGGAAGAAAGCATTTCGAAGATAACTAATTCTACTTACCATAAAGATAAAATGATGAGAATCCTTAAATTAAAAAAGTAAGTATCTCCCTTTAATTAAAGACAATAATGATGTTCCCTGAAAAAAAAAATGTCACTAATTATGATAACGTAATTGAACGTAAGCCATCAATTAGAATATTTTAATAACAAACAACAAATTAAAATTTTCGACTTTGTGATAAATAATCCTAAATAACAACTAGTTCTACTAATTTCCACCCACTTCGAAGCAATTCAGCCAACATTTACTCCATTTTTAATAATGATAGAGTAAAAAACTAGAAAAAATTTTGAATTTTTTATATTCATTTCTTATAATAAAAATATTATTATGGATTGTTTTAATTTAGTGCTTTTGGAGAAACTATTTAACAAGTATACAAAAAATGGCTGCATCGATGATCTCAAACAATGGCATGGATTTTTAGAATTTTTATATGTGAACCAATTATTTGATCCCAACGATATGCTTAAGATTAAAGATAGCGTGATTTACTTTCCTTTAGTGTTTGAGAATCTTAAGAAAATCTTTGCAAATGCTAATATTGTACCTGCTTTGTAAGAAATGTCAAGAGAATTAGACAAACTTTATAATTAAGTAAATGATTGCAGGACAACATTAAAAAACTGGAATTATCAAACATTTTCAGTTGAGGACATGAAATACACAACAAAAACATATGAAGAAATTGAGAAAGAATTTCAAGACTTTAAGAATGAATTCGATGATTTTGCAGGAGATGTTATTATTGTAAACTAACCTATACAATCCCTGAAAAGTGTTGTGAAATCTTTTCCAATAATTGAATCTGTATTGTATGACTGTTATCCAAGAATCCTTTGGAGTTTTTAAGTAGTAATCGAGATAAGATAGACCGAGAATATGCTAAAATCAGAGTGAAATCTGTTTAATACCGTAACTAAGCAATTAAAATATTGAAATAAGGATCAATAAAAGTTTAAGTTGGTTATGATCATATGAACGATGCTCCAGTAGAAGTATGGTTAATACCAAAGTAAAATTAAATATTACATTAGATGTATGTGGAGATAACAAGAATAATGTGAATTATTGAACACATTTGAAGCTCATCACGAATTGATTTTGTCTTAGTTTTTTCCAAAATATTTGGGATAAGATTTATTATCTGATGAAAATAATTTCTAGCATTTTATGGAATTAAAGAGAGGACATACTTTAAAATACTTACTCAAGCAATCTAAAAAACCACTAACTCCTGACTACTTATTTTTTAGAACTACTATGAGATAAGTTTTTGGTGGTTTATTTGATATTTTAAGAATGACTAGATTTCATCCTGTTTTACCAATAACACTCGCAAATATCTAAGTTGGAAATGATGGAGTCTAAATTTATTTAAGAAATGTTAAATTTTCAGAATTAAGAGAAGATGATTAAAACTTAGAAGCAACTTTATTGGAAAATTTTGCCTAAATTATTATGTCTGCATTGGGAAGTAAATAAAAAAAATAATTCTTTAGTGAAGAGGGCAGATGTTGGAAAATTGGGAAAGTATTTGGATTGGAAAAATCTATTACAAGGTTTGTTTAATGCTGAAGAAGACCATTAACTCTATAAAAGTATTTGTTTATATTATTTATCCATCATAGAGGGTGTCATTTAGTAAAGGTTAACCTTTTGTTAATTACTCAATCACGATTTATTTGATGATGAATTGTTGAGTAACTTTGAAGTGAGTGAAGTTGTTTAAAGTTATCATGATTGGATTTCCTGAATTATTCAATTTATTTATAGAAAACATTATATTAATTCTTTAAATACATTCTCTTTCCAAATGTGATTTATATATAATTTGGTTTAATGATTTAAAAATGATTTGGAAGAAAAAAATAAGGAATGGTTGCTTAGGCATTAAGAAAAATAGTTAAACCTGAAAATAGTTACATAATCTTCAATAATTTTTTTAGATTGATCTTCACACATCATTATTAATTAAATAAAAAAGATAAACTGTAGTAGGAAAAATTAGAATAGGTTATTTCTATTGATATCTAGATAGAGTTAGGTTTGTTGTTACTATTTCAATTTTTATTATTATTTAATTAGAATAATAAAATTACTATTTATTTATATTACAACATGGGTTCTAAGCCTTCTAAAAAACCAGACCCTCCAAAATCTAACGAAGCTTAACTTGAAGACTAAATTCCAGTTTATAATCGACCTAAATCTCCAGATTACGGTCAATAAGCAAAAATAGAGGCTGTTGGAATTAAACCTGATGATAATATCGATAGGTACTCACATTATTTAATATAATTAAGAGAGGCAGCAAATAAGAGATAAGCCGAAAAGCAAAGAAATTCTAAGTTGGAGGGTTAATAGAAAATATAACTTCCATAAAAAAAGATAGAATAACCAAAAAAAAAATCTTAGAAATTTGTTATTTAATCAAGTTAGTAAAATAATCACAGTTTGGATCTATCTTATGATCAATTTGTAAATGGATTGAATCAAAATGATATTAAAGAATTGGAGAGACAATTAGAGAGTGATGAATTGTCTCCTATCAATAAAACCAATACTGAATGTATGTGTAAAATATTATCAGAGCTTAAAAATAGGCACTTGATGAGTAGAAAATAAAGGTTGCGGAATAAAAAATATGGAAATTAAAATAAAAAATTAAGAGATCTTTTAATTGGCCAGCTTAAGGTTAAGTATACATGGTTTCTGTAACCTTTAAATACAATTATCAATACAAGACCTAAAAGTTGGCAGTGACATAGCCTTTTGATAATTATGTAAACTCGATATTATCTTGGAAAAATAATGCATAATTGGGCGTATTCGAGTTTAAATTAAGAGATGTAGACATATATAATACAGAAACAGGGGATGTTTAATAGCTTAAATTTAATGAGGTGGAGTTTATGGTTGATTATAATGGAGTTTTTGTAACTAAATCATCTATTTTAGATTGGAGTCAAGCACGAAAGTGATTTTATTAAGAAACTTTCGTAATAGAAGAGATATTATGAAAAAGAATAAATAAAGGAAAAAATGGATAGGGATTAATTACTTAATAATTAATTGAGCAATCTAGAAAGATTGGCTAATAATAAATTACAAGTTAAACAATCAGCGAAGCAAAAGAAATAAAAACCTGAGACAATCATTTAGAAAACTGAAAAACAATTAGAGTAATTTTGGACAAATGCATTTTAATGTTGGTATACTCTAAATGAAGACGAAGCTGAAAAAGTCTTTTATGCAGGTTAAGAATGTATAGTTTTATAAAAGAAAGAAGAGGATCCATAAAAAAAGTTAGAAACTTTTCTAATAAAGAAGTTACAAGATCCAGAATTCTTTAAGTCTTGTTTAAATTCAGTAAAAACAATAAAGGACCCATTAAAGAAATGGGGGATGTTTAGTAATGAAGAAATTTTAGAATATTTAGGTGGAGCAAAACATGTAAGAATTTTAATGCTTATTTAGAGTGTTGTATAAATATAAAAGAAAATAACCTTTCCAATTTTGGAAAAATATAAGATTGTTGAGGGTATCCTTAACAATAGCGATTTAACTCCTTTGGTTGCCAAATGGAATCAATGTAGAAAAACAGTTATAGAACATGAGAGAGACTTATTTGTAGATATTGAACATGAAAAAAAGTAAATTCTTAATTAGAATGTAGATTATTAACATTTATTTGGGATAAACAATTAGATATTAAGATGAAATTAAGATCTGAAAATATATTTGTGGAAGAACTTAACAAATTTAGAGATGAGTGCGAATTAGAATTGAAAGAAATGTTGTTCCAATTATCAACAATTCCTAATTTTCCTATGGAAAATAGACCTAAATATAAAGAAAAATATTTCTAAATTTTATGATCATTGAAATGAGGGTGGTTATAACTCAAGAACTCTAAAAATATTCATAAAATGTATTTGCTATGTAGGGTTGAGCGAGTAATACAATTCTGTAAAATCACTCTCATCTACAAACTTATTCTATGTCCATTTCTTCAAATAGTTTATAATCTTAAGTTTGCTTTACATTTTATCAATATCTTTTCTCAACTTTTGAATTAATGTTCTTTTGTTTTTTTCACAAAATCCCAGAGTATAATTGGATATCACTTTAGGTTTGAGAATTTAATGCCTTGAAGGGTTACTTTCTTTTTTGAGAACATTCTCATAAGGAACTCTAACTTTTTCACCATTTCTCACCAGGACATCCAGTAATGTTTGATACTCAGTTATTAATTCATCCAATCCATCTTATATAAAGATATGTCTCTTTCTTTCACAATATATTTATTCTTACTTGCATTCAACTTAAGTACAATGGCCAATGAAATTGAAAATGGGACAAACATAAGAAACTGAGCTTAACTCATCCTTTATAGTCTTGTGCACTCTTTCTTCTCTATTAGTATCACTCTAAGTTGTTAAGAAATTCTTACAAGTGAACGCAATGAGGATTCGCTATCTACGCCTTCCAATTTATCACTTTTTTAGGCGAAGATCTCTCCCTCCTCATATTATAAGTCCATATATTGTATATTTAATTTTGATCAAAAGTCATAACAATAATTACCTATATAGTGATCTTTATACTCATAGATAATTTAGAACGATTTACCATTTTCCATTTTGCAGATTTAATTATGTCTGTAATTGATATATATATATGAGGTTAGTGCAAAATTCATATTAAGAACAAACTTTTTGGTAATAATAAGAGTTTTATTAATAAATCTATTAATTGCAAGCAAATAAAAATATTATAATATTTAGCATTATTCTTCAGTTTTTACATAATTACTAACTTTTTGTTAATTTATTTTATATTATCAATTTATTAACAGCAATGATATATATGCATCACTTACTAATTTATATTACAAATAATAAATTTATGTTAAAAATTGTAGAAAAGTTAAAGGAGTTGGTTTCACAAGAGTTGTGGATAAAGTTTTTCAATTAGATAAATGGTAGACTGATGCTTAAATTGATAATGCTGAAGTCAGTAGTTTGTAAGCTTAACAACACTATAAAGTCGTAATGATGCTAGGAATTTTGTTTGGTTACATAGGATGTTCTGAAAATAAAGTAAAATTCAATATGACAGAAGATTTAGATTATAGTCAAAAATTGACTAATACAATATTAGCAAAGGTCGATGGCTATTATAAGCAATTGATTTTGCTTGCCTATTTATCTGAGAAAGAAACAACAAATTTAGTTTATCAACCAATTTCATTCAATAATTTTACTATTTCAAATGACACATTCACTGAGAAATACATTATATAACACAAATTGAACCAAAACAATATATCTTTATATAGATCATTATATAAGGTTACAGAATCAATCGATTAGGAAGGATGGTAGTAAACAATTAAGTTAGCACAAATAGATAAATACATTTTAGAGATGATGTTTAATTATGATGATACAATTATATTTTTTCATCAATACTACCTCATAAATAAGATAAAAAACATTATTCATTACTTTCCAGTTATAGAAAATATGAATGAAAGCTATCTTTAATTGGAATAAAAGTAATAAATCTTATACAGTAATGAGACTATAATATTTTCATATCCAACAAGTTATGGGATGGTTTTAGGAATAGGTAATACAAATGTCATTGGGTAAATTTTGTAAAATTTGGAGTCTTCGTTTTTTATCAAAATATTTAAAACTGATAACTCATTTTATGTTTCAAATTATTAAAGCGTAAATGGATAATGTGAGTGTTAGATGAATAGAATTTTGAATATCAGTTTTGATTGTGACATGCCAAGTGGAGATAATAATTACTATTCCAGTAGTTCGTGCAATTCTTTATACGTTAGAGATATTTCAACTAATAGTCAGATTAAAATCTATTTAGTAATCTACAAATAAAGAATAGATGATTCTGCCAATGCCTTAAATTTATTTAATTTGGCATGGCCTTATTATTTAATTATAATGGTTATATTTTTAATTAATATTTTAATCATAATAAATAGAGTTAATTTGTTTACTAGAGATATTACTAATCCTATTAAATAAGTTACATATAAAATTGATAAGATTATAAGCAATATATTTTAAATACGGATAATAAACAAGATATAGGCAGATGATATTTTAATAAAAGAAGACACTGAAGTTCAAATATTACTTCATGAGTTCTCTCGATTATTTGAATAATTAAGAAATATGAATACTTTTAATATCCAAACCTTCGAGAAAAAAGAAAAAAAGGACATCTTGCAAAAATAAAATGATAAATCTATAGAATAAATTAAGGCGTTGGTAAATAAATTTAGAGAGTCACTGTGATGATTTAGGCATAAATGTATCAATTATTTCTTATCTTGAAAAGTTCTCACACCATCTAACAATACAATATTAAATTACATTTGATGATTTTTTGACTCTAAGTACTGGATAAAATAGTTCAGTCTATTTTGGTCATTCCAAATCTAAGAAAAATCACTCAAATTTAGTAATTGCATGAATTTGTTCATTTCTGAAACTTCCACGATCTTATGCTTTTGCTTCTCTTTGTATTAGTAATTGATCTCATATTTCTCATTATCTAAATTATTAATAGAGATATTTCCTATCTCAGACTTTTTGCTAAAGGATACTCTGATTGAATGGTCTTCATTTCCTGAATCACTTTCAATGTCAGTGCCAAAATTATCAAATTAAGGAGTGTCTCTCACAACATTTGATTGCTACAATAGTGTATGCTGTAAATTAGGGGAGTCATCCAAAAATTATTTATTATTCATGTGCTGATTCAAATTAATATTTGAATTGCATATGATATTTAATTTCTCACAATTGTCAATATGTTTTCTTAGATCTTTTACTTATAAATTACATGATTTATCGACAAGGTATTCATAAAAAGAAAAAAGAAGAAAAATTTAAATTAGATTAATCCATACTGTATTTCCAAATAGAATCATATTTAAAGTTTACAATATCTAAAATAAAAATGGATAACGAACAAATCTTCTAAATTGTTTTCTACTCTAGTTAAAATACTTATTGTCATCATATAAAATTTTCATCATAGTGCACTAATCTAACTAATTATAATTACATAGACTATGAATTGACATCCAATAGGAATCATAATGACATATGGAGTACATCGATTCAAGACGCCTTCCAATATTAAGGTCACTATCACTAATAGAACCCAAATAAATTTATATCTCAAAGTATATGATGTATGATAGGTTTCCTTTACTTTCATATCAATCCAGGCTGAACTCATTAGTTTATACTAGTAAAGGAAAATGCTCATGTAAATCAAAGATTCCGTCATGGTAAGTAAACATATTGCTTTGTTATCACCCTTTAATTACAATTGGAAAAATTACGCAGAATTAGCTATCCATATTATTTAATTATAATATTCCTTATTATCATCAATATTACAGATTAGAACATCATTGATAATAGTAAAATAATAGATAAATAAATGTGGAGAAAAAATTAACAATTGTTCATATTTTAGGATTGCTATTTTAATTCAATTTAAAAATGCAACTATGCAAGTGATATCATCTATGACTTCATCTTCCTTTTTCCAAGCTTCTGTAGCCTCTTTCACTAACCTTTCTACAGCTCCCTCTGCATCGTTTTTCAGATAATAACTGTAAACTATATCTACCACCCATTAATTATCGAGAAATCTTTCATACATATTATAAATACTCCCAAATTCCATCTGATGCAATAATAAGAAATTTGTCATTTTAAAATGTATGTTTAATTATTTCTGGAATTGAGATTACACCTACTTAAGCAGCGACATAATCTCCAAAACTTCGAGACATGGCCAACCCTGGAACATTTTCATCTTTTAACCAAACTCTTGCTGGACCAATTGGATTTCCTTCTTCATCTGAATATGCTTAAACTCTTCCTCCATTAGATATTATTCTTTTCTCTTCTTTCGGTAAATCAGGCTTTTAATCATGAGATAATTCAACCACATGTAGTCCTTCCTTCTATCTACCAATAATTGCCCTTGAATCTCCTATATTAGCACACCAACCAGTGTGTTCAACAATTATTAAGCAGACTGTAGTTGCACCACTATAAGTTATATCAATTCCTGATTAATATAACTCCTTTGTTGTTCTTTCAAATGCTTATTTAAAGATCATCTATATCATCATATCCTAATCCTTCTTTCCCATCTTATGTGATTTTAATAGCTAATCTAATATAGTAGGTAATCTTTCTTAAACGAATTATGCAACTTCATGGCCTTTGATACCATGTCCATCTGAAACTTACAATAAATACGAATTATCGATATTCCCTATTCTTTCATGAATTGCATATGAATCTTGATTTACCTTTTCTTTTTTTGTATGTAGTAATCCTGCTTAAGTTCTATTTAAATTTAATGGATATTATACTTAACTGCATATTTTGAAATTAGTCTTCTATCTGTTAATATGATATCAGGATTTGATATTGACCTATAACCTTTGAGCTGTTTGGCAGATTATTTCTTTATATACTCAATTAATTTATTAGCAATATCACTTGTAGGCTTTAGATCTCCATTGCTCATAGCTCTATTATGTATTTAGGGTGGAGATTTATGGGTTTAATTAAGCTATTTTTGGAGACCTAGTAATTTTTGGAATTGCTTTTGAATCAAACTTTCATGATACTTAAGATTACAATCTGTTTTCTTATTTTTAACTATATTTTGTATCAATAATCTTGAATTGGGTCTATTTTTTTTCAAATTTGCATCATTAATATCAAGAATGAATTTGCTACGAGAATTTTGCTTTTTATCCAATAACTAATTAGTATTTTGAGAGTTAGCTCCATTTTTGATTAGAGAAATCAAATCATGAGATAAAGCTGTTGATTTTGATACTTTATTATCAGTTTTAGTAATAGTTGATATCCCAGAAGAGACTAAATATCTATTATTCTCGTAATTTAAAGTACTTATTTTTCTTTATGGGGGACTATCCTTTTTTTTAGGGTGAAGATTATGGTCGAGCATGGATAAGTTTCTATTAGCTGGCAGAGTTTATCTTCATTAATATATATTTTATAAACAGTTAGATAGAAAAAATAAGCAAATCAAAATTATTCTTGGCTAATGCATGTTTTCATAACCATTTAACTCTTTTTCCTTGTTCCCAAATGCCTTTTCTATTTTCACCAGTGGCAGTGGTGTACTCTCCTTCCCCGTTCTATTTTCCATTCAACCATAATCCTGAATAGAAACGACCATCTCCCCAGTAGAAGGTGCCATATCCATGCTTTTGGTCGTTCTTATATTCACCTTCATATTTTTTGCCATCTGGCCAAGTCATAGTACCGTATCCATCCATTTTGTTGTTCTTCCATTACCCACTATAAGATTTTCCATCAAACCATGTATATTCCCCATCTCCGTGGATCTAATTTTCAAAAAACTATCCAACATACTATGACCCATCTGCAAAAAATATATGTCCATATCCATGTTTCTTACCTTCCATATATTCTCCATCATATTTAGAACCGTCTTTCCATATTTCTATTCCTTTTCCACTTTGTTAATCATTTTTCCATTATCCTTCATAACGAGCCCCGTTTGAATGAAGATAAATACCAAATCCATCTGCCTGATCTCTTTGCCATTCTCCCTCATACTCATCTCCATCTGCATGCATTAGTTTACCTCTGCCCCAAGCGAAATTTGATTTCCATTCTCCTTCGTAAACAGAACCATCAGCCCATTAATGTCTCCCAAAACCCCATCTCTATCCTTTCATCCATTATCCTTTGTACTAGCTTCCATCGACCATTTATATCTCAGGCAATTCCACAGGCTCTTAATTATTATCTGTTTATTTAATTAATTATTAATCTTCCACTTTTTATGGCTCGATAATACAAATTCTATTTGAGAGCGAACTTTCCTTGATAAATTATTTACTTTCCTATTTGATCATTTTTTTCCTTACAGAATGTCCTCTATAATGTGCTTATATTTTAATAATTGAAGTTATTTTCTCTTGAAATTCAGTCACTCTTCTATCTTCGGTAGTTAATGCATGATTAATCTCAGTTATTATTTATTTTTCCACTACTTAATTATCATCTTTTTTGCAACATAATATTGAGCATGGACCCATGAAGTTTATAAAATAATCAATTATCAATAATAATTTATTTCAATAATTTAAATTACTCATCATAAGCGACAATATATTTTAATTTATCAAATTACTTGATATATCCAACAGTTTTATTTGTTGTAGTATTCTTCCCTTTATCATAAATTTGTTCTTATACAAATCTTTTCTCACTCATTCTCCATTTCATAATATGTTACCATCGCATTTAAGTAATCCAAGTTGCAATTCCTGGTGTTGTAACTGTAAATGATACTTGCTTAGCAAGGACAATAACCTTTTTTTATTTATTTAAAATCATTTCTATTTCATTTAAAGAAGAATTAAGTAGTTATGAATGAGAATCTTCATGTTATACGTCATTGCAGAATTTAAATTCAGTATCAAAAGTAATTTCATATAATTAGAAAGAATGATCATTAATAAATTGGGTGATATACTCTAAATTGTTATTTCCATTATTTTCTATTAATTCAAACTCGCTTTGACTTTGATTTATCAATGCTTTCAGTTTAGTGATATTAGTAAAATTCTAATTCAATATTTATACCTAAATCTACGTCGTGTTATAATAAATCTAATCTCTTCTTTAATCATCTATAAGACCCGATTAATATAAAAATGATCCGTAATATCCAATCTAATGAATTGGACTTACCCATGCATTTTCGAGCATGATACCATCGATGTTTACCTTATATCCAACTGAATATTCAATTATTTTTGAGAATAGTGATGCCACATATTCTCTTCCATATAACATTATTTTCATGTTGTTTATTCCTTTTTTCCATACAAATTCCTGTATGAATTCCAAAATATTTATGGCAAATCCGTTCTTTCCACCACTCCCTGAAGAATAACCAACTCCAAAAGGTTAGTCAATATAAAGTACACTTACAAATTTATTATAGGAGAATGGGTGTAAGTCTAGTGATCCATTTTTTAAGGTAAATGGACCATATTTATCATAAGCATGCAATATTGAGGAGCAACCATTATTTGTTAACATCACCCATAATTGATCAGTGTCTGTAAATTAATTATAATCCGTATGGTTTTCTTTCAAAAATATCTAATATGTATAGAATCCATTATCCAATGTTAATCTCCCAGACTCACATAAAAATGATATCTTGGTTTTAATCAGATCTTCGTAGAAGGAAGTCACATCATACTCATATATATATGCTCTAGCTAGTGTGAAAATTAATTATAAATAAATAAACATTATCTTTTGTTTTAATAAACATATACTCATGTGAAATCATCTGACTTGCTCATTATGCTTTTTTATAATTAATCCTCAAAACTTTTGCGATTGTGCAAAGCTAAAAATAGATAAATATATTACCTGCTTTCAAATTATATCGTTACTTTTCTTTCAAAAAGTCTATCACAAATATTCTGATTAAATACTAATCTAAGCAACATAATATGATATCACAAGACAAAAATATTGTTTATAAAATAATAGGCATTGCAAATTTTTCAACTTCCAAATACATGAATACAAACGGAACAATCATCAAGCAGTAAATTAAGACGCTTCTACAAGATTGACTAATATTAAGTACAAGTTAGAACTTTTGGTAATGATGTATTCTTTGAAAAATATCATAGAATGTATTGAAAAGAAATTACAAAGGATTTGAAGTGAAACCTTATATTTAATTCAGTTAGTTACTATCACAATTTAAAGGGATAAATAAAGCATCTTGAATTTACCTTAAACAGCATACAAGATTAAAAATATCAAATAAGCAATTAATATTCCACATTCTAATAATAACATGTAGATTGATCTGAATTAAATATCTGATACGATTTACCTTTAACGAGCAACTTCACCTGCATTTTCAGAATATTTTCCATTTTTTCTTATTAGAATAGAATCCTTCGTTTTTTTAAGTTTTTTATTCTTCTCCATAATAAAAAAATTAATATATATAATTATTATTCACTTTATATTTGATTATTCTAAATTTTCATCAACTTCTCTAATATCATTCTGATCTTGCATTTAAGTTTTCAGTTCTTCATTGTTAGAATATTATTGGACCTCATTAGGCACATCAATACTAAGAATTATTTATTGAACTCCAGTATATTTTGAGTTTATAGTTGATCTATGAATAACTTTAGATACTCTAGTATTATATCCCTGGCTATCTTATCTTTGGAATTGAACAGTTTATCTTCTTGGTAAATTTCCATCATTAGCCTTTTTCTATAATTGTTTTTGCTCTTTAATTTCCTATTTTCTTTCGTTATAATTGTAAATAAACCATTGTTTCATATACCTTTCCTCGATGTGGGCTAGCCATCTATAAAATTTAGACTTTTTTTTAGTATATTTTTCCTCATACTCCCCAATACCTCCTTGTATTTCCTTGATTAAATTATAAATATTTATTTACCCCTAAAAACGTGACTCTAATGCTTTCGCAATGCTAGACTTTCTTTTTGTTGTTACGATGCTCCTGTATTTATAAATTCCTAGAAATATAAAAAGGCATAAGTGCCCCAAGTATAATAGTTGTAATGATCACAATAATCAATATTGTTGTTTGCATGAGCTCAACCTATATTTTCTCTTCGTCATTTTTGTAGTCAAGTTTTTGTATAAGAGCATAAGCAACTGATCCTCTTATAAGTCCAGCAAACCAAACAATATTGAGCTCCCAAAAGGTTAATTTAAAGTTCTATCTACCAGTAAAAATTTGTGATATCATTGTCAATAAAAATAAGGATAGGCCTCTGGAGACAAAACATATTGCTATTTCAAGCAAAATGAAAACCCAACTTGTCTTCATTGTATCAATTCTATTTTTCTCATCACCTTTAATCGCCCATAAGGCTAAGCCAAGATACACGTATATAAATGATTCGCAAAAGAGCGATAAAGAATTTAAAGTTATTCTATTTATTATTCGTGAATATATACTTTGATGATATTTGCCCTAGGTTGCAAAGGTTGTAAAAATTGTAATGAGCCAAAGCTATTCCGCAAACCAAAACACTGATTACACCACTTAATTCTAATAACTCGCAAATCGCAAAGGATGCATAACCAACATACAGTAATATAATAATCTCGAGAATCACAGACTCTGTCAAAAATCTCAAACGCTTAAACAAAAACGATGTGAATAATCCTATTATCATATATTCGATAATGAATACCAAATAATATCCCAATAATCATGCTTCCAAAGAACTCCTTTATGAATAACCAAATTAATTCCAATGGCATTTTCCAAGTTTCTACATGTTCATTACTTATTAATTCAACTGAAATGAAGAGGATAATGGATACTGCATCATTGACCATCCCTTCGCCAAAGACAACACTAAATAATTTAGGGTATTTTTCTGGCTTAATCATTGTCAACGCTGCTACACTATCTGAGGCGCAAATGGTTGCTGCAAAAATCATGATGTTCTCAAAACTCAGTTTTATGACATTTTTGTCGAAGGATTCCGTTATCAAGTCTAATTCATTGCAAAAGTATACCGTTTTCATTCACTATCCATGTGAAAACCAAGATAAAAATAAAAGTGAAAATTGTTCCTAATAATCCAAATAACACTATATAGAAGAAATTTTATGCAAATCTATAATAATTCTAAGTTAATAATAAACCTTCTTTTGTTTAAGTTATAACCTCCACAAAATATAATTATCGGTAAAAGAATATAGAAAAAGAATGTGCCATTAAAAGTATACTACTTCATATTGATGATATACTAATGACCGCAATGTATCCTCAAAGAGAAGATAAAAAATGAATCCACTCAGTATTCCCAGCAAAATTCCCAAACCGGTCTCATGAATTATGTGGATCTACAAATTTATTTCAATATATATACATGTTTATGCTCAAAGAAGGCTCCTGAGATTGAATAAACGAATAACACAACGATAACTGTAATTGAAACCACTCCAAAAGATTCTAATTCTGACATTGATTGCGTAATATTGCAGCTTGTGACTATAATAATTAATATAATTAATTTTGTGATAATTTGATGATCAAATAATGACCATTAAACACTTACATTAATTATTAAGCAAATTGCATTCCAAATTCGTAAGTAGCCATCTTCTTGAATGAAATGACTATTAGTAGGTTTGGAAATAACTTATATATAAATAAAATCCCATTCTCATACAAGCTAATACTATGATATGGATATATATATAAATATATAGATCAATTTCTCAATTTCCCTCTTCCTCTTTCTTCCACTTAAATATTCTAATCTGAAACTAAATAATTATTTCAATTTCAAAATAATAAAGTTGTATTATCATCGCCATTCAATAAACTTAATTGATAAAGTTGTTATCAGTTGAAAATACATAAACATCAAATTTGGTGCTTATATATTGGCTATAAGTCTCAGAACATAACAAAAATATATGATTTTAATAAGAAATTAGGAAATTTGTAAATTAGACCCGATTTATTTTTTTTTTGAACTTAATTAAACATATATAATCAACCACTTGTATATTTGGTAACAGCTTTTGTTCCTTCAGAAATAGCATGTCTGGCCAATTCTCCTGGGAGTAATAATTTAACAGCAGTTTAAATTTCCCTTGAGCTAAGAGTTCTTCTTTTATTGAATCTGACTAATTTGCTAGCTTCAAGAGCAATTCTATCAAAAATATCATTAATGAATGAATTCATAATGTTCATGGCTTTTCTTGAAACACCAATTTCTGGATGCACTTATCTCAATACTTTGTAAATGTATAAGGCAAATGTTTCTTATCTTCTTCTTGCCTTCTTTTTGTCATCAGTTGATTTCTTAGTCTTCACTGTCTTAACAGTCTTTTTTGCTTCAGCTTTTGGAGATTTTGATGGAGCCATTATAATTAATATTTTAAATTGAAAACCTTAGCGCTATTTTTAAATATAAATTTTCAATCTGATTGGTTGATTAAGGATATTTGTATATCTACCATTTAATTGGATGCTCTACACAAAAATTGACTAAATTGCTTCAAAAATAGTGCAGCACAATGGAACACTCTTTAATTTTCATAAATTTTAACATCTTCATCGATTTATTACCTTTATCAAATAATAAAGAACTTAATTAATAATAAATTTTATAATTAATTACACCCCCTTAATGAAAGTAAATAAAAAGGTAGAGATCATATTTTCTTGTGTTAATAGTGATATAAATGTCAATAAGTTGCTAAACATTACAAGTAACTAAAGATTAAATTATTCCTAAAATTAATTTGAAACAGCTATTCTTATTAATATCTTAAATAATATAATTTATGAAGAAGAATGCATCTTTATTGATGAAATCAAAATTTCTTATAAATTACATAACTAAATTCATTGCTGAACTTTAAATTTTTATTGTTTCCAATTCTAAAACCAATGTCTCCATCCAACCATGCAGAAAATCTATATTCAGCTTATATTTAATTTTCATCAGCTGTTGCATTTGAGGCACTAATCTTTTCATTTTTAGAGAACCCAAAACATCTATTTTTGTAATGATACCAAAATATATCAGCATTTTAGCTTTTTCTGGATTTCAATGAATCTTTTGTAATTATAAATAATTCTTATGCAAAATCGATAGCACACAATATCAATTTATTCCTTTCTATATTTTTTATCCCTCCCAGACAAATAATTGTATTTTCTTAACAATCAAACCTAAGCTTTTCCAATAATTCTTCAGTAAATGGAAACGTAGTTGGTTTTTCATATATTTTACTAAACCCATTTGATAATAGTATGTGTTCACTTAAATTCAAAAACACACCTAAATTGTATTATAAACATTAATCAAGCTAAACAGGTTTTTATAATTGAGAATTATTTTAAATTAATAAATTAGTTTAAGTGCTCGCATCTATTGATTGTAATTATATATCTTGCTAGCTACAAATAGTGGAATAATCAGCTTAAAGATTAGAATTCAGCTATCTGAAAAGTTCTTTGATATTTTGTGTACAGCGATTTGCAATTTGATATTATTATTAACTCAATTCTAGTTTCTAATTCAATATCTAGGTTCCTAAAAAAAAAGTTGTACTCAAAGATATCTACTTACCTAAGAGAAATAATTCTTAGTAATTTTTATTTGGTGGCTGCTTAAATTAATGATTTTCAAATAGTTGCTTTAACTAAAGAACTATGGATTCTAGTTCTTATTCTTTTTTAATTTAGTTAATAAATAATTGCTTATAAATAAGCTCTATTGAAGATTCTTCCTTGATTCCTTATTTTATTTCTTTAAAATGCGTTTGTAATTAAATAATTTTCTAAGTCATCAATTTTAGGCAATTACTTATTTCTTTTATATTAATGGCAGCATAAGTTAAAACATTATTTTGATATTCTTAGAGTCCTTCTTAAATCATATTCCCAAGCTCAGCTAATTAAAAAATTTAATGTCCTCTGTGATTATATAATATACAAAATGAACAGAGTGTCCTCCTGGGTTCTTAACAATTTTCAGATAAACAAACTGCAGCTATCGATTAAGAATGCTCTTTGTGAAGAGAGCATTTCAATTTACTTAATTTAGCTGATAGAGTCTACATTTAAGTTTTTATGATAAGCAATTTATATTTAATAAAATAGATACTTATGAAAACAATTCAATTGTGTTGATAAATTTGGGATGCAACTTACAGAATTTTTTCGACCTCAATTTTTCCTACCTATTAGAGTCCCTCCATAATGTCTGTAAAATCATCGCCTAACAAAGAATGTTTTAATTCTTTTATTATGCTCAGACACAAATAAAGTAAGTATTCATTTCTATTAGAATGGCTCAAAAGACTATCCCATAATATAAAAACTCCATGTAATTCAAATTCTTATGTTAAATAAAGCATAATCCATCTTAAACTATAAAATTATGGATGAATTCCTTATTTCTATAAATTATCCCATATTTCAATTTCGTGAATCCGTAACAACGTGTTTAAATTATTCATTTTTGATTTTATACCATCCTGTGAATCATCAAGCGATCTTAAAAAACTAACAATGCAGTTTAAACTTCTACCTTTCTTTTGCATCAGCCATAAATATTGTAAAACAGAAAAATGCATCACTTTCAACAGATTATAAAAATAAATCATTTGTATCACTATAGAACACATAGTACAATGGAGCTAGTATTTCATTCATCCCTTGCTTGAATAAATACAATTTAATACCACATATCTAATTGCAGGATTCAATTTTGCATAAATAAACAATATTCTTGTGAGAACATCATAATGCCTATGTTCAAAATCTTTTGCCAATCTCCTCTCTCTTCTACATTAGGTTCTAAAGTATACTGGATATTTATTAGGGATTTGCGTTGGAGAAACAAAGAAAGACAATTCTGCTCTCGTTCTTACAGTGTCTTTTTCCACTTCCTCCCATATTACTTAATCATCGAAAAAGCTTTTCCAAATAGATTATTATGATTTGCTTAATGGATGATCTTATTTTGAATTTTATTTATTTTCTTAATCCTCATATTCACTCGATTCAGTCATCTACTTTTACAATTTCGACTTAATCAAATCGTTGCAAAACTATTCATAATTCTCTATATTTGTTGTGATTGTTGAATTCCATTTCGTCCTATCCACAGGAAGGTACCCTAATAGCAACTTCCAAACCAAAGATCTTAAACCCTTGATGTCATCAGGTACTCCAAAATTTGATAGCTTTTTTAATTCATTCAAATTAATTTTTGGTTTGTCTAAAATCTCTAAAAACTTCTCAATACGACTTTTAGTATTTCCAGCTATTGGTTTTGTGTTTAGTTAGTAAACTAAATACTCTAAACTAAATAAACTTTCCATATATTAAGAATTGTAATATTTATTTAAATTAATCCTTAAAAATATAATCAATTTTAATATGAAAAATATTATTTATTTATTTAAATTTATGGGAACCAAGAAATTATATTAGAAATGTAGAGCTCCTTTTAATAAATAAAAAATAATTAAAGTGGTTCTTAATAATAATTTCTTTTTTATTAAACACTATTATGGGCGAATGCTTAGATCGAGATTAAATAAAAGTATTAGAATAGTCATCATATTCTTAAACGCCAATGAATTTACTTATTAAAGGTAAATTTAATCACAATCGACCAAGAGTTAACACATGAAGGTTAGTAAACAAGTCATACTCTTATGAAATAATCATAAATCTCAAATTTAATAAAGGAAATAAATCTGTTAAAAGTGATTTCTTGTCCTATTAAATTCTAAATCAAAAAATTAATTATCTTGTTATAGACAGGAAATCTAAGATAATTTTTGAAATTAAACCATATTGGAAGAGATAAAATAATCAGTTATTCATTGAACCCAAGCTAGATAATTATATGTTTTGCAGAAAATGATATCAAATATTCATAAATATATGAGCAGATAATTTCTAATAGTAATTTTACAGAGTTTATGAATTTTACAGATGGTATTGGGTATTTATATGGGTTTGTTGGAGATAGCCAGCAAAGAAGTTGTTGGGTTTATTAAAGAGAACGCAAACTAAATTTTAATATTTTTTATAAAAATTGAATCAAAGATTAGCTACTAATAATACTATAGAAATGCAAGGTATATCTTTGGAAAGTACCAACTAAAGCTTTGTTATGAAATAGCTGGAAAGTTGAAATATTGTATAACAATGATGTACCTTAATTTATTAGAAATAGAAATTTGATTTTATCAGCTACTAGCCAGACATTAAAAATAAATCTCTCTACATTTTAATGTCTATATAATAAATTTGATTTATAAATACGAATTAAAGTAAAATAAAAAGGAATTAAATCATTTTATAATTTTATTGAAATAAGACTTGAAAATATATGAAATAATTGGCTATTGATAATTTAAATTAGTGAATTATTATAACTAAATACTTCATCCAAATATTATTCCACAAAATCAAGATTCAATATTTATAATACCCCACATTTCTCAAACTAATTCTTTTGAGTAATTCTTATGTGCATTCTTAATCTGAAGCCTTTTCCAAAGTATACCAGACTGCAGTAGAAATATTTTGCATATTATATCTTTTATTCAAATCGGCAGCAATAATTTTTGTTATTAATACTTTAAATTCATCTGATGGATCTGGCTTACCATTTTGTTTAACTTTATTCCAAAAGCGATCCCATTATTAATTAGAAATCATCTCGTACCAATTATCCTGGTAATGTTAAAAGGGTGGAAACCCCATAACAATTATAAATATTATAACTCCATAAGCAAACACATCGCATTTTTCAGCGTCGATTATTTTATTTTGAATTTATTCTGGGGAAGCATATCCTTGTGTGAAACCCATAGGTTAATTTGCATATCCTAAATCACATAGTTTTAACATCATATTTTCATTAAACATTATATTATCAGGTTTCAAATCAAAATGCACTACTCCATTCCTATGCAAAAGTCCTATCTAATTGTACAAATTTATTGCGATGGTACGTGCGAATTTTTCTGCAAATTTCCCACTCGTCAATAATATGTCTAATAGCGAACCATTCTTCATGTATTCCATTAATATTTGATGACTTTCTGAAAATTTTTCCATGTAAGGTATGCATCTTGGGAATTCTTAATCATTATTTTGCCATAACTTAATGAAAATATTAATTTCATTCTGATTTCCAGGACTACATATCTTAATTATAGTACAATTATCGATTATTTTGACACCTAATCTTTCTTTGGTTCTTTTAATGCAAAATATACACTAGATAATCTATGCTGAGTTAAATATACAATAGAGTTTCTTCCTGTACCTAAAGGTTCTTTTTTAAAGGTGTCAAAGAATTTTTCAATCTAAGCATCTTTTATTTAGAAGTTTGCAAAATTTTGTTACATGGTTGATTAATATTTTTAAAATAATAATAAAAAAATCGTTTAAAGAATATATTTATCACGATGTGTTTACTCCTCAAATCCTTAATAAAAAAGATTTTCTAAACAACTGCATCTAGTTTGCAATAGAAGGGCTTTCCAATTATGTTTTTGTCTGACTCTTGCTAAAATTTAACTTTAACATGATTTAAATCAATTCATCCAAACTCTAAGTATTTGAAGAGTAGATTCCTGGTATCATCGATTCTATTAAATTGGTTGGTCTTTCTGATGACAGTATCTGATACATTTTTGTAGTTAATTATAGTTTGATTATATCTATACTTTGTAGTTTTTACGAAGCTCTCTTAGATAATTGAGATGATTTGGTTTTCATCGAAATCTTCAGAGGTCTATGCAGTTTTTGATGATTATTTGTAGCTAATTTACTTTGCGGTTTACAATCATAGTAGCAATATTCCTTCTAAGGTTCAATATGTTCATTCTTTTCCTCCTCCTAATTGCTTATTTTCTTATGTTAAAAATTTATATAGTTATGAATCGTTATTGAGTATCAATTTATTTTGAATTATTTTGAATTTACAAACTGCCAACAGAGCAGAAATAATTTCTGGTTTTAAACTAGGACTTTCTATTTAACAAAGAAAGGCTAGTTCGAAACAGATTTTGAAATTTGATCGTTCTCTTTTCGGTCCTTCATATCCTAAGAATTTAAAGTATTGAAATAGCTAATCTTTGGTAACTTTGATTGAAATTCAACATAGTAGAATTGAAGAAAATGATATCAAATACATTTCTGTTTAAACTTTCTTTTGACTTAAACTTAAGATTTAATTGATCTTTAAAGTAAGAAATTGAAAATTTGAAAAAAATGATCATCAAACAAAGAGTTTCTATTTTCTTCTTTCTACGTTGTTTTATAAAAAAATTTTGTATATTCTAATAAGCAATAGATTTGAAATATTTTTACTGTTCATTGTCTCTAATCATCAATAATCAAAATTTTATGAATAAAGGTTAAAAAAGAAATGTTTACAGTCTTATTAAACATTGCTTTATCAATAATTGTGCTACTGTAGAGTATAAAGATGACTTCAAATTGCATGGTGCTAACCTTATTTTTATTTATTTAGTTTACTTATCATTCTTTGGTTATCAAAATATTATACCTTAATGTCCTTTGTAAAGAATTGTCTTCTCTATTTGATTTATGCTTACCATCTTTAAGAATTTATTTTATCATTCCATAATTTAATACAATTCAAACAGTAGAATTTGATTTATTCCCCTAAAAATTGAATGATTACTATTAAAAGAAGCAAGAATGTTGATAAGAGTAAAATCAAATGTTAGATGAGAGCATTGGGCTTTAAGTTGTGTCTTCTTTTTGTTTTTCAATTGACGGTTATTTTTATATAGTGTATTAAATTACTATTATTAAACACCTGTTTCTTATTAAAGTAAATATTTGGAAACCCTTATAAATTTAACAGAGAAATTGAATGATCAGGATATTTTAAGGATATAATTGATGAATGAATTCAAAAATTCAATTTTCGTTTTTATTTCATCATAGCTTTCTGATTGATAGCACATCATTAGTAGAGAATCAGATCTTATCATTTAAACTGACTTTTGCAAATTAGAAAAATTTCTAAATAAATTAAGATAATTCAAGAAAGCAGATTTTAAGAAAAACAAAGTTTGTAGAATAATTTGAAAATTCATTATTTCATCCTATTTGATTTCTTATTCTAAGGTATAAGCCTTTTGAAATTTAAAAATTATTATTAAAATCTTTTTTTTGAAAAAGAAAGTAATACTTCATAGAATGTTATTACAGATGTAATTTCTTAATAACTTATTTGAAGTCTTTTGAATTCTAACAATTAAACCAAAATTATGTATATAATTATTACTTTTACCTATAATTATAGTGTAGTGGTATAAAAATAAGTTAATTTTCTATTGAAAATGCATAGTTGAATGAGTTAGGTGAGTGCTATATATGAATATTCATATGCAACCAATTCATGATTTTAGGCATCTTGCAAGTATAAAAATCATTACATTATAAATTAAATTATGTATTATCTTAATTTATTGATATTACTTTAATTTATCTTTATCAATATTAGGTAGGGATTATATTAAGGGAAATATTTAAAATTATTTTAGGTGAAACAGAATGGTACTAAGAAGAATTTAAGACTTTGTTAGTGATTTTAGCATTACACTTTCATCTTCTATAAATCAGAAAAAGGTTGGTTCGATTAGCCAAAATACATGGTGGATTGGAAGGATTATTTACAAGGTTTTTTAAACTATTTCATAAGAGAATAAAATATTTGGTCTTCAGAACCCACACTTTTATTTATATTTATTTCATCTTTTGATTAAAAGAAAGATAAGGAAAAAAAATTTATCTTAATTTAAGAGATATTAGATTCTGTATCGCCTGTAGATTGTTTCTCATTTGAATTTGTGAATCTTGAAAAAAGTTTAAGTATTTTATTTATATTAAGTGAATAAAGTTAAAAACGGTTTTAAGCATCAGAATCTATTAACTTAGTTATAACTTACTCATCGTACATTTCACAAAAGAAACCATTCAGAGATATCAGTAGTTTAAATATATAATTAATATTCAAATTTTATCTTTGATTTCACACTTTTTCAGTCACATTATTTTCTTCAAAAGCAAAGTACAACTTTGGCTCAAATTCTATAATCAATAAAAAATTGATTTGANCTTATTAAAGTAAATATTTGGAAACCCTTATAAATTTAACAGAGAAATTGAATGATCAGGATATTTTAAGGATATAATTGATGAATGAATTCAAAAATTCAATTTTCGTTTTTATTTCATCATAGCTTTCTGATTGATAGCACATCATTAGTAGAGAATCAGATCTTATCATTTAAACTGACTTTTGCAAATTAGAAAAATTTCTAAATAAATTAAGATAATTCAAGAAAGCAGATTTTAAGAAAAACAAAGTTTGTAGAATAATTTGAAAATTCATTATTTCATCCTATTTGATTTCTTATTCTAAGGTATAAGCCTTTTGAAATTTAAAAATTATTATTAAAATCTTTTTTTTGAAAAAGAAAGTAATACTTCATAGAATGTTATTACAGATGTAATTTCTTAATAACTTATTTGAAGTCTTTTGAATTCTAACAATTAAACCAAAATTATGTATATAATTATTACTTTTACCTATAATTATAGTGTAGTGGTATAAAAATAAGTTAATTTTCTATTGAAAATGCATAGTTGAATGAGTTAGGTGAGTGCTATATATGAATATTCATATGCAACCAATTCATGATTTTAGGCATCTTGCAAGTATAAAAATCATTACATTATAAATTAAATTATGTATTATCTTAATTTATTGATATTACTTTAATTTATCTTTATCAATATTAGGTAGGGATTATATTAAGGGAAATATTTAAAATTATTTTAGGTGAAACAGAATGGTACTAAGAAGAATTTAAGACTTTGTTAGTGATTTTAGCATTACACTTTCATCTTCTATAAATCAGAAAAAGGTTGGTTCGATTAGCCAAAATACATGGTGGATTGGAAGGATTATTTACAAGGTTTTTTAAACTATTTCATAAGAGAATAAAATATTTGGTCTTCAGAACCCACACTTTTATTTATATTTATTTCATCTTTTGATTAAAAGAAAGATAAGGAAAAAAAATTTATCTTAATTTAAGAGATATTAGATTCTGTATCGCCTGTAGATTGTTTCTCATTTGAATTTGTGAATCTTGAAAAAAGTTTAAGTATTTTATTTATATTAAGTGAATAAAGTTAAAAACGGTTTTAAGCATCAGAATCTATTAACTTAGTTATAACTTACTCATCGTACATTTCACAAAAGAAACCATTCAGAGATATCAGTAGTTTAAATATATAATTAATATTCAAATTTTATCTTTGATTTCACACTTTTTCAGTCACATTATTTTCTTCAAAAGCAAAGTACAACTTTGGCTCAAATTCTATAATCAATAAAAAATTGATTTGAGTTATTTTTTTTATCGTTTTCTGATATGGATCCATATTTATCATACAATTTAACTAATTAACTAAAATATTTATAAACCCCTAAGAAATTAAATTATGAGTTGATTACATTAAGAATTAACAACAATGATGCTATTCTTTAGCTGTTAATAAAGGTAATTGCAATATTAGTATCCCAAAAATGATCAGTTTATTAAGCTATATTATTTTACAAGGAAGCAGAAAATTATAAAATGTGTCGCTACTTTAAATTTTTTTAATCAAATAATCTGTGTCATTACTTCTTAAAATATAAATAAAAAATTAGATAACAAGAAATCATTACTTGTTAATTATTTAATAAAATAAGATACTTTTTATTTAAAAAAATTACAAAGTGAACATTATGTTTCATGATTCGATAAATCTAAATTCTTCATGCATAGTTTGTAAATTAGATCTCATTTCAATTTTGAGTCTGTCCATTTCACTAAATTCTAGAAAAATATTCGAAAGCAATCAAGATGATTTAATATGAATTAATACTAGAGGAATTCTTGTCTTTATGGAAATAAATAATGGATAAAAAAATAGGGCTATCAATTGTACTTCATTACAAATTGAATCTTTATATTTCAACACTATAGATAATTCACACCTTCAGATTTTTCAATTGCATTAGAAACAAAAAACTTCTAACCTATAAAAGGAGGAAGTGATGCTTTTGGCTTTTCCACTATACAAATAAAATCTACTTTATTCTTGATTATTATTCTATTAAATTTGGTTTTCATGGTCTATATGGCTCTCTCAAGAATGATGGAATATACTTTGTAGCTTGGAAATGACTTTAATCGATTTAGTAATCTACATTTTGCTTCATTTTTCTTTAATATATCAATACTACTCTATGGAAATAAAAACGATTTTGTTATTTTCTCGAACATTGATTTATTTTATATAAAAAATCAGATTACAGTATAATTTTATAATTTTGAGCAATTCTCCACTCAATTACAAAAGCATTAAAAGATTTAAATATTTACTCCCAATAACAGGATATTGAATTATACATTAAAATTAACCAACCAATTTATGGAAAATTTAATTATTAATTATTCTATTCACTATTTCATCATACTTCTATTAGCAATACTGTGTATGTAGAGAAAATTTATACTCATTCTTAATTAAATTAAGTCTAATTTGAGGAATTCCAAATAAATTACTTATAATAGCATAAAAATTTTGAATTTCCTCTACAGTCCATATGCGTTTTGAGGCTATTTAATAATTTAGACCATCTCTATTAACAATCTCAGCAATAAATTGTATTAAATTAGCTTACAATATGGATTCAGGAAATCAATATTTTCATACAATAAAACTGTCAGAAGCTTATATAAAAGGGCACAAAAAGCTCATCCAAATTCTGGTTACGATATTGATATTATTTGAACAGTCCACTATATAATTATCCTAACTCATTATTGATCTCATTATTAAGTCCAAGTATGGGTGGCTTTTCGAATTTATGTATTGTTCAAGTTTGGTTCTAGACTTTCCAATTACAATATATAACTTTTGGAATGCTTATTAATAATAGAATGGATTACATTCCTAAGATATAAAAAATTTAGGAGAAAAAGCTAGAAGGGAGATTTTCATTTCAGAGTAAATTAAACTATAGTTATGACAAACATGAGATATAATTCTTTTTAGGAGATATCTTTATCATAGGAAAGAATAGAAAATTGTTACATAACTCAATGCAAAAAATTAAATCAATGATCAATCAAACAAGCCCAAAATATACATAATTTTTAAATAATGCTTCATATCATGATATTTGGCATGCCAAAGTAAAGAATATGTATGAATCAGTTGTGAAATCATTTAAGAATTTTTGAAACATTCAGACTAAAATATTACCTAAATGTACCTGAAAAATCCAAAAAGTTTAAGAAGATATCAGATTAGAGTGTTGTGAAAATAGTTCAAATATGCAAAAAAGTTTAGATTTTCCCCATTCAAACAGCGTTCAACAAAACATTGAAAAATAATACGTATATTTATCACAAAAAGAAACCAAAGAACAAACCATAATGTGTTACAATATTAACTATATAATCTTTTCCATATTTTGGTTGAATATATGGAAATTTATATTATTGGTAAACTATTTCAATGCTTTTCTAAATGAGTGGTGAATTGCTCAAAATTTTTCTTATCTAAATTAACTGTTTACCTAAAATAAATCAATAGCTATTAATCGCAGTGAATTTTTAAATTCATACAAGCGACAATACTCTGTTGTTTCTTCGCATGCATCAGTTTTTCCCCTTCATTATTTTATTTTCCCCATCTTAGATAATTAATTATTGAATTTTACATTGCAATATTTTTCTTAAATATCTTTTTATATCCAATCTCTAGTATATCTATTTTCATTCCCTCCATGTAATCCCTATTTCAATAAATATTCGAATTAATGTTTTACTAGTATTAATATATCTTGAAGCTATTGACATCAACTCAAAAGGTCTATTAATTATATTCCCCTAAACGATTCTCCAACCGCCACTTTTTACACCGTTTTAGCATTCATTTTCATAAGTGATTTATCTTGAGCTTAAATTAATTTTAATTATTTTAATTACTGGTATATCAAGATTTCAAATTTTATTCATTGTAATATTCATCTCCACTAAGTAAAAATATCAGTTTACATTTCCACATTTTCGAATTTAAAATTTCAAGTATACCTAAGGGAACATATTCCAGTATCCACCACTCTAAAATGCTTAAGCCCTTCTGTTAGTAATAATGAAATTTTATTTAAATTATGTAATTATTACATGGCTCTTTCCAATCTCTTATTTCTTCCCATCGAAATAAAGTGATTTTTAATTGAGCTTTGCTATATCCTCCTCCATCTTCTTGAATATTTCTCCCTTCCGTGTGGCTATCCCCTTCTCAACTTTTATTTTATATTTCTCTACTCCTATCCATTAAAGATTAAATTAGTTTGATTCTCTAAAATTTCATAATTTTATTTCTCCCAAAATAAATTACTATGCTGGAAGCAATAAATTTACACTCTTAACATTATCCATCTTCTGTTTTGTAGTTTAGGATTTCAATTTTAATAATTTGTTGAGATTGCTATGGAAAGCCATAATGCTTTTATGTACCTTCTAATTATTCTACAATATCATACTTTTTTAAACAATTAATTATGTGTTCTGTAATGATTATATGTGGCAAGTTAAATGTAATCTGCTGATCAAAGGAGTCTATATTTAAACTATCCTCTACTTTCTAGCATTAATTGGTTTTACAATAATAACGAAAATTATAAAAAAGGAAGGTCAAAATAAAAAATCAGGAATTCCAAAATTTAAGAAAGGCATTTAATTATTGGATTGATTTATTACGATGATTCTTCCATTCAAAATAAAAAATACAGAAAAGACAAGTGAGGAAGGAAATACAAAATTTATCTCTAACATTTATTAATACTTCTTCTTTTCAAAAATCCATTAAATTTTAAAATAATCAAGATTGGTTTAAGACATCAATCTGTAAAGTCATTTGCTAACTCATTGGTATTTGTATGATAATAAGATTTATTTGAAGAGGATTTAGTATTGGTCAAATAGTCAGATCAAAAATTATTAAAGTTTACTAGATCTTCTCAAGAATATTAATGCAACATATTTGAACCAAAATAATGAAGTTGATTAGATGTGGTTGTGTGCTAGAATTGCATTGAAGAGGAGCGCGATCAAAGTACTCATAATTCAATTTTTATATTTATTAAATTACTATATTTTGTGGAGGTAAAGGATTTGTTTAATTTTCTTGAAATTGTAAAACCAAAAATGTTTTTAATATTAAGGTCAAAACGAAAGAGAGACTAGGTTTTTAAATTAATAAAGATGATACAATTAATGAAAGTTAATAAATATTCCTCTATTTGTATTCAAGAGATTGTTGTTTTAGGATTTGATTTTTTGAGAATTATAATTTTGATTCTGAACATTAAATATCCTCCTCATAAGGCCTGACAAGATATATGATTCAAATTAAAATTGTTGAATCTTTTGAGGATATAGATGAATAATGAAATCAAATGTAAATTTATTTGGTTTCTTTTATTTTTACAATAAATTTGATTTAACATATGTCTGTAAGTGCTAACCCTTCTTTTAAGCTTTTAAAGTTTCTTTTTTAATATTTAATTCAGGTCCCTTCTTTTTGATAAAGAGTTGATAAATTTAATTGGCCCTTGAATTAATTATACTTTATATTATAATAAGAGTTGTTGTTCTATTGTTGTAGTGCAAAAGATTATCAATCCAAAAAATAAAAAGCTAAAATAAGAACCTTCTCCACAAAAGAAATATACCCTGCTTACATTGGAAGAAAATTATTGAAAGGGAGGATGTAATGCTATGAAATTTATTTATATAAATAAATTTTGATAATTCTTTAAAATGAATGGTTTTTTTGAGTTTAAGGGGCATTTATACTGGTATGGAATTGTATATTTAAATTTGTTAAATTTTATATAAAATGTCTTAAACTGAATTCATTTGAGGGGAGGTGGTTGTGGATCTTGGAAAATAAACCCACTAAAATCAGGTTTCTTAAAATCAGACTAAGAACTTTATATTTTCTTTAATAAATTCAATTTTTATGTTGAGAAAATTTGCACTAAGGCTGTTGTAGCTGCTGATTAGTCAGAATCTTAAGAAATAATGATGGCTCTCTAATGGTTTATTTTTTAAGAAGAAAATATTTACAATCTCAACAAAAATGATGAAGGCGTAGTGAAATCATACGATTTAATCTTAGAAGGAATCCGAAAGTTATTGAAAAGCTGTTTGATCTACATTAGAACAAATTCGTTTAAATGTTTATATATCTTATAAATAACAGCGTCTCTATCTAAAATTATATTTAGCTTCCATGTACTTAATGAGAAGAGATTTATGAGATGTGATTTATAACAGGAATTTTTGGATATCTCTGATGAACTAAAATAACAAATGTAAATAGAGAAGAATGATTTGATTCAAAATGAAATGGAAGTCTATCTTTTCTTAACAAAAACCTCTTTCGAGATCTAACCAAATAATCGAAATGAAAAGCAAAAAATCTTATCAGGATGTTTATAGGGTATTATTGATTCGATAATTTAAATGAGGCCAAACGAAAAATTGCTTGAATCATTATTTCAGGGAGCCTGTCATTTTTAAAAATTGTATGAGGTAAGCAACAATAGAAAATAATTTGAAGTTTATTTTTAAATAGATATGTTGTAATGGGAAATAATTAGTTATTTTAAGAACGATAAATTTTAACATCTAGATGAAATTCTATTACAAGTTGAGCAAATATATGATAAGATAGTAAAAAATTCAAATTTATGGTAATATCATTATCTTTGGGTGTAAATGATTGGAAAAATCTTATATTATAATCCTCATTTAACCAAAAAGAAATTATCTCAGCTGATAAATTCTTTTAACTTTGGATTAAATCCAGATTAAATTTGGAATGAATGTAAGAGAAAAGGATTATTAATTTAAATGAATCATAGTAACGATTAAGCAGTCATCTAACTTAATTAACTTTAGAATAATAAATTAAGTTAAATCGAAAGAAAAATATTAGAAACCTGTTTCAAAGAATGGGAAATGTTCTTATTACTTAAAGATTTTCTTATAAATGAACAATATTAAAATAACTCATATACATTTGGATCATATCTTAAAAACTCATTATTTATTGAAGGAAAACAACTCTAAAAAAATGAAATTATATGTGCAATTAATAATATCAAGACGTTTTAAGGCTTTTTGGTTTCCAATAAGTTGCTTACTTTAACTAAATAAAATGATGAGAAATTGGAAGAAGTAATAAAAATTTTGAGAAATTTTATGAAAAATAAGCAATATAATAAAAGTACGAAATTAAAAATTTCATTATAGTAACTCAAAAAAATTATCTAAAAATTAGAAGAGTATTTCTAAATTATACAGGATATCATAAAAATATTGAGTCTTAATTAAGGCAGATTGATAAAGAAAAGTGAAAATGAAAATGACAAATACAAAGGCAATCTTGAGGAAATTAATAAATTGTAAATTAAAAAGGAGTTATTAGAATTGTATATTCTTGAAGTTCAAAATGCTAATGGTGAAAATGATTAGGAGAGGAGAAATTTAATTTTTGAAGAGTTAAAATAAGTTGATTTCAATAAAAGCAAAATTTAGGGGGATGTTTAAAAGTTGATCTAGATTTATCAGAAAGAAATTTAAAAGTTAGAAATAGATGAGTTTTAAAAAGACTTATCACAATATTTTTAGAATTTAGTAAATAAACTAGGTTAATTTTATGAAAACAAATGTCAAGAAATTTAAAACTCTTTTTCAGAGTTCAATTTACACCTTAAGGAAATCATGATCATGATGTATTAAATTGAGGCAGTTCCTAAAATTGTTGAACTTGAAAAAATTAAAAAATCCTTTGCAGATAAGCACTTACTTGAATTTGTGGAAAATCTAAGGCTCAAAATTCTGAAGCTAAAATTAAAATTGGTTTCTTCAAAGAATTCTTTTTAATTGATATTAGAAAAAGGGGAACCTGAGAAATTAATAAATTTGTCAAAACTCATCAATATTGATGAGTTTTTGCTCAATGTAATTGAAGATTTTCCAAAAAAAATTATGAGAGAAAATGTTCATTTAAACATATTGGCTGATGAATTAAGCAATATTGAAATTACAGAAGAAATTTTTGAATTTAAATTATCGAAGTAAAAAGGAATAATAAAATATATCTTATTTAAATAGAGTATAAAGAAAAATTGATTGAAAAATTAGGGGAAGATTTAGAGTTGATTGAGAAGGAATTTGGAGAATTATTTATTAAAGAATCTCCTTCATAATTGTCTATGTTGAAAATTAAGAAAATTTGTAATGAGTTAAAACATGAAGTTGAAGCATTCTTAAAAAAGGCAAACGATAAGAAATTAAATTCTTCAGAAATGAAATTGGAAACAGAAAAATTTGAGATTTTTTTATCTCAATTAAATTAAATTGAAGATTTTAGAAAATGCTTATAGATCTAAAATTGGAATCCCAAAAACAGAAATTGTGATTCAAACCTTGGAAAATTTTGGATGCCCAGACAAGGAGATTATAAAAATGTTAATTAATTAAGAGCTAACCCAATTACAAACTATAATAGGCTAAATAAATTATGAAGTATAGGAATCTCCAAAAGACTAGTTAAGCAGAGTTGATATATAAGACAATGGAGTTGTTGCTTATTAAAATGGCAGGAAATTTAATTTTTCGAGCAATGAAAACTAGAGAATTTCCCTATCATCTATAATGAAGGTAATAAAGTTAAAAAAATTAATACTGAAAGAAGAGTTTGTGCTATTACACAAATTACTTGAAGAAGTTGTTTTTTTTTCTGATAAAATAAAATAAATTGAAGAGTATAAAAAAGAAATTTCGTACTAAAGAATTTATTTAAAAATTTGAGTAGTTACCATTTTCATAAATTAAATTATATTAGAAAGAAGATGAAAATTTTCATTTATATTTATTAGAAACCAAG